GGGTTCCATGGCTGACTTGGCCGACTCTGATCCCTGCTACCCCCAGTCATCCATCCAGGGCGACTTCAACTATAAAAGCTGCGTGGCCTCCAGGTAGGTCGCCCTCTCCATGGCTCGCCAGGCTTGGTTTCTGCACAGTTGCCCTGGGAGGCGGATTTCCAGGTTCCCAGGGAGAGCGCCCTCCACTCCGGACTCCCAGGGAGAGCCGGTTGGGGGCATGAGTGCTGGCTGACCTCTGCGGTCGGCCCACCAGCCCTGATCTCCCCTACCTGTGGCCCCGCCCCTCACTTCCTGATCTCAGATCAGGGGACCACAGGCACCTCAGTACCCAGTCCCCTGGGTGCCGCCATGTCTGTGGCCCCGCCCCTCCCTTTGCCATTGCAGATCAGAGGGCTGCAGGCACGGCTGCACCCTGGGGCTGCACCCTGTGCTCAGGGTGCTGCCATGCCTGCTGCCCCGCCCCTCCCTTCGCGATTGCAGATCCGGGAGCCTCAGGCACGGCTGCACCCGAACCCCAGGGGCAGCCATGCCTGTGACCCTGCCCCTCACTTCCCGAAAGTCTGTGTCTGATAAACCTAATGTGTTTATTTGTTTTTTATTGATCTCAGAGAAAGGAAGGGAGAGAGAAAGAAACATGGATGTGAGAACTATCCATCCGTTGCCTCCCACACACATCCTGACTGGGGATTGAATCCTCAACCTGGGTATGTGCCCTGACCAGGAATCTAACCCACTACCTTCTAGTGTAGGGAATGATGCTAACCAACTGAGCCACACAAGCCAGGGCCAACTGTTTTATAATAGAAAAATTTCAGTTTCTCCATAGTACAGCAATGATTTCAAATTCAAGAAAAGTAATTTATAAATAACTTGTTATAGGAGCAATATCTTTCTGTTAAATTTGGAAAAAAAATTCAGGAGGAAAAAAAGTTGGATATATAAACAAGCCTTAATATTAAAACTAAACAATAAAGCAAAAGCCTGCCATCCACACCTAGCAGACACATAGCCGCTGCACCTAGGGAGGTTTTAAAATGATTCAAATCTAAATTCCTTAAGTGGCAAGTTTTAATGAAAACAGTGTCAGAACCATAACACTGTCATAAAATAGGTATTATGAAAATGTTTTCTGTATTCAAAACCTACAATTCTCAAAATGAAAGGAGGATTTACATGATCACTTGAGTAGGATAGCTATGAGTAATTCACTTGCAAGCATTGAATAAGTATTGAGGCTTCAGTGGCAAGGTTCACGCAAATGAATGCAAAACACAGGGTGCAATTTCACTGCAATTTAAACTTGTTATTTAAAATACATGAGTGAATATAGATACAATTTGGATATACATGCAGCACAGTTAATAGCTATCAGTCAGGGACAGTTGGAAAGAAGAGAGGTAAGCTCTTCCATCTAGAAAAATCATAGGAAAAAATTAACCATAATGTACAAGTAGACAATTTCCTATAAAAGTACTGGAAAGACATTCTTTTGGCAAAGCACAAAAAGCTGAGCTGAAATTCAAACTTGTGAGGAAAAAATAAGTTTCATGTCTGATGCACCTATTACTATCATCATATATACATTTTAAATATATTATTCAGTTATTTTATAGTTAAGTAAAACAGAATCAATTATTATGATGCAGTAACTAATTAATTTGTAATTGTTTCTACTTTTTTTCCTTTTGTTTAATTACCATAAACCTTAGGATTCTTGACATTTGCCTCTCCACTCTAATTATATGTTGTTCTTCATTTTTTTAAAAAGGCCTGCTAATTTTATGTCCTGAGGATTTCAGTTTATTGCCAAAAAAGTACACAACAGTAATCTTTGTTAAACTATCTACAAATTATAATTTAATTAAATCCTTTTAAAATTTAATCAAAACATTAGGTATACACAACAAACTAGTGCAAGACTAGGTGCTGAGAGGAACATAAGGACAAGAAAGAGTCCATTTTTTTTAAGTTTCATAGGGAGATAAATGAAGACCACAGTTTCATAATTTGTAAAATGGCAATAATACCTACTTCACACAGTTGCTTAAAGATGATAATATATTCACTTAGCACAGTGTCTAGCCCTTGAAATGCTTTTAACAAATGGAAGTAGGTGTTGCTGCAACTGCTATGCCTGTCTCTACTTTTACAATAATAAATTTTTTAAAAATATATTTTATTGATTTTTTACAGAGAGGAAGGGGGGAACCAAGGCACATGCCCCTGACCGGAATCGAACCTGGGACCCTTCAGTCCGCAGGCCGACGCTCTATCCACTGAGCCAAACCAGTTAGGGCTACAATAATAAATTTAAAATTAGAATTAGAATAACATATTTTAGCATTTTCTACACAGCTATCCACATGAGAAAAAAATAGTTTATATAATTTATAAAATGATAAGCTAACATTTAGAAACTTTATAGAAAACTTTTCAAATGATAAGACATTCTTCTGGAAATTAAAATATAAGTAAGATATTAAATACTTTAAAAACAATTGTGTTAAAGCATTCTGAAAACATTCTGTCACAAATTTTTTTTCTGTCATACCAAATAACTAATATATCATTAATTTGTTTAATGAATTTCTGGAAAGCAACTATCAATCACTGACTGGTCTATCTCTGAGTAGTTGCTTTCTGATTGATTTATAGAACTGGTTTATCCTTCAAGTGAAGGAGGATATATCACATTTTCTCATTAGTGAACTAACCCTTTTAGCAGTTATCTGCCACCCAGTAATCTTCTTAAATAGAAGTTATTTTTCTGGAATTTAAGATAACAAAGGGACAAAGAAATTATTGAAATTATTTTTTAAGAGTCAGTAGTAACGGAATATAAAAATGGGGAAATATGTATTAACTAGAGGCCCAGTACACAAATTCGTGCATGGGTGGGTTCCTCGGCCTGGGTGGCAATCGGGGCCGATCAGGGCCATCATCTCTGGAAGAATGATACGGACTTGCCTCTGGGAAAAGTACTGATATCTAGGGACAGGGTAAGAGGGAGAGACTTCACTGCATACTCTTATGGACCTCTGAATTTTGAATCATGTGCATATATTTATATTTACAAGTAAAAGAATGCCATAGAATATTAAATGGCTTGGGAAAGAGTTCTGCTTTAATTTGGCTGAGTAAACTCCCACCAAATCAGCCCTCCCTCAAATAACTATACACTCAAAATAAAATGCAGAAAAACAACTACCCGAAGGCTCTTCAGAGCAAACAAAAGCAGAAAAATTCTGGAGGGAAGGTGACATTTGGAAGATGAGATAATGCGCAGGGTGTTTCCCTTTTCTGTTACAGCTTTGGCCCACAGTCAATGCTGTGCAATACTGGGCAGGGAGCCATAGAAAACTTAGTCTTTGTGGCCTGAAGATCCAGAGGGCAGCCACAGGCACTAGGAAGTGAAGGGGGAATACCATAAAGGTGAAAGTTAAAGAGAAGAACCACCAAATTCTGTGTAAAAAACTCTGCCCACATCTCACCTGATCTGTGTAGGGCAGATCAGCTAAAAATAAAAGAACTGAACTGAAATTTGAGCTGCCGACTAGGGGATAAAGTTAGTAGGTTGAGAACAAACAAACTGTCTGCTAAATCAAGACTTACTTCTGCCCTGGTCAGTATCACTCAGTAGGTTGGGTGTCATCCCGGGCACAGAAAGGTTTGGGGTTCGATTCCCAGTCAGGGCACATGCCCAGGTTGCAGGTTCAATCCCCGGTAGGAAGTAACAGATCAAGGTTTTGCTCTTGCATCAATGTTTCTCTCTCTCCCTCTCCCTTCCTCTCTCTCTAACAATCAATAAAGAATATTTTTAAAAAATTCAATATATGAATAAGCAGGAAAATGTGACCCGAAACCAGAAGAAAAACGAAAACAGAAACAGACCCATAAATTACAGAGATAATGGACTTTGCAGACCAAGATGCTAAAACAGCTATTATAAATATGCTGAATATGTTCAAAGATTTCAAGAAAAATGAAGATAATGAATAAAGTAATGGGAGATATATAAAAAGAACCAAATAAAATATGTAGAGATGAAAACTACAATATCTGAAATGAAAATGTCACCACATGAGATTAACAGCAGGTTAGATAATGCAGATGAATATATCAGTTAACTTCAGGACTCAACAATAGAAATTATCCATAGTAAATATAGAAACTACAACCATTCATCTAAACACCCATGAAGCTTAAATGTTTTCAATGGCAACTATATACAGAGTCATTATAGCAGGTTTACTATCTGGATGGAAAATCTGAATAAAATACTAAATATTTGTCATATCAAATATTCTCATAGAGAATATAGAGATATAGGTATGCTGGAATCCTGTGTGGTTTACTGCTTCCAAACCAGTGTTTGTTTCTCAGGATAGCAAAGGTAGCCCCTGCTGTGCCTACAAAAATATATGTAGCTCAGCGTTCAATCTCTCACAAGAGACTTGTTGACCCAAAGCTGAGACAGCAGACAGCACAATTCCAGGCTAGAACTCTGGGCAGGGAGCAGAGTAGCATTTTTTCATACTATAATTTTGGTAAGGAGTCCAGTTCCTGCTCTCCAAATGGGTCTTTCACTTACACACCTGCATTCTCATAGATGATAAAACTAGCCTCTAAGGCTTATACCTGGTCCAGAATCCCCACCTTTGACACAGAGAGGAAGAATACTGTATGGGAATAAGACATCTCAAATCTTGCTAACATAATGGGTTCTCCCTTCATTTTTGGTACCTAGTGATTTCTTCTTCTTGTGTTTGAACTTAGCTATATATGTCTTTAATATTTAAATATTTTATTCAGCCTTTCTAGAGTTTTGGAGTGGAAATTCTTAATCTGCTCAGTTTGTCTTTTTGACCAGTTCTAGATATAACTTTTGTCATAAAAATAACCAATAATAGTACCATCAAAGATAAATGAAAGAAGCAACAGTTATAGCCCAAAAACTCTGTCTCCATGTTTCGGTGAACTCTGAGAGGTAAAGTAATTCTAATTTGGATTAAGAACATTGGTATGAACTGGAAAAAGGGTCTAAGGATTACAAATCTGAACTTGTTCTTCAAAAAAAATCATTACCCTCTCATAAATTTATAACACTTCACTCATATTAAAAAATAGCTTATAATATCACAATATTTTTAGTTTAAAATTACATCTTTACTGAGGATGATTCCTCAAAAAATATTTTATTATACCCATATTACACCTACACAAAAATATAATTTTTCATTTTGATATTATTTAAATGATAAAATTACCTTTGTGTTTATTCAGAAGTTTGTAGCCTTCACAGTATCTTCCTGGTGAAATTGTCATCTTGGTTGTGTCAATATAAGAATATGTCGCCGCAAAATCAAACTCCTTTTTACCATCCCACCAACCTTTCCGCTTAGCATAGTTTCTCATGTCTGGGTGTTCCCGATCAATCTTGGTCGTTATAGAAAGCTGATTAGAAATATTACGAACTCCCTCTTTTTTCAAAGAAGAAGAGGTGAAGGGAGAAGAAAAGTGGTATTTAATATAATGTAGCTATCTGTATATTATGATTCATAATCACAATTTAAATGTAAATATAGTCTTCAAAATTTGTATCATATGCATCTATTACATATTCAAAAAGATAAATTGCTTTTTAAATTAAACTTTTTATTTTTGAGATATAGACTCACATGCAGTTGTCACAATAGACAGATCCTGTGTATACTTTACCCAGTTCCCCACAATGTAACTTTTTGTATAATATTACAACCAAAATACTGGTACTGATAAAGTCAAGATGTAGAATATTTTCATCACCAAAAGGATCACTCAAGTTGCCCTTTTATAGCCACACTCACTTGTCTCCCATCCCCAGCATCTCATTAACCCCAGGCAACCACTAGTTTGTTATCCATTTCTACAACTGTCATTTAAGAATCTATAATAAAAAAAGCATAATATGCTAATTAGACCAGACAGCCAAATGACCTTCCTGATGTCCTTCCGGATGACCTTCCAAACGAAGCCGGGGCTGTGAGGGCCAAGCCCCTTGCACAAATTTCGTGCATCGGGCCTCTAGTGTTATATAAGTAGAATCATATAGTATATAACTTTTTGGGTTTTTTCATTCAGTATAATTCTCTAAAGATTCATACAGGTTATTACATGTATCAACAGTTCATTACTTTTTATTGCTGAGTAGTATTCTATAGTATGTACATATGACAGTTTATTTAGCCATTCACAAGTTAAAGGACATCTGTTTGGGGCTGTCATGGAAAAAGCTGCTATAAATATTCATGTATAGGTTCTTGTGTGAATGTAAGTTTTTATTTCTCTGGGACAAATGCACAACATTTCAATTGCTAGGTTTTATGATAGTTTCATGTTTAGATTTTTTTTAACTTACAAACTGTTACCCAGAGTAGCTGTACATCCTTACTAGCAATGTATCAGTGATCCAGTCTCCACATTCTCACTAGCATTTAGTGGTGTCATTTTTTATTTTAGTCATTCTGACAGGGGTATAGTAATATCTCATTGTGATTTTAGTTTCCCTTTCCTAATGGATAATGATATTGAACATCATTTTACATGGTTTTTTTCCCCATGTGTTTTTTTGACATCTGCATATCCCTTTAGATGAAATGTCTCTTCATGTCTTTTGCCCATTTTTCTATTCGGATTTTTTTTTTTTACTGTTGGCTTTTGAGACTTTTTAAATATATTTTAGTATTAATTAGTTTTTGAAAAATAGTCATAAAGAAGTTTAGAACAGAAATATATAAGTCTTCCAAAAATAGCATGGCACTAAGTTAAACAAAATGTTCAACTAAAGTACAAAATAGACAAAATAATAAAAGCCTGTGCTAAAGAGATCATAATGAATGAAATATATCATGATAAATGAAAATTGATAGTGTTTTAGACAGATTTAGAATTACAGTCTGCCAAGTAAAAATCAATTAAATTACTCTAATGCAGTCATACTTGAGATATTCTCTCCACAAAAACTAGACTTAAGTCAGGATAGAACAAATACAGAAAACAGTTTTCCATCTAATAGCTAATTATACTTGAGATATTCTCTCCACAAAAACTAGACTTAAGTCAGGATAGAACAAATACAGAAAAGAGTTTTCCATCTAATAGCTAATTCCCTAGTTTAACTCTTTAGTCTTGGGATCATTTAGTAAGGAAGAGAAACCAGTGGGCAAAGTTATTTTAGAGCTGGATAATTAAACCCAATGATAGTGTTCACATTGGATGGCTTGCTGGGCCCATCTTTTTCAAAAGAATACATTTATTCATTTCTCTCTTACAAGTGGCATCGTTAATAAAATAAAAAGTGCTTAATGGTACAATCAGGCCAATTATTACAATAAGAAAAATAGTCTAAATTCAATTATATGTACTGTTTTTTTACTGTTGTATTAGTAAACATACATACAAAAATATAAAATGTCCATCAAAAAACTGGCAATGATCTTTTGTGAAAAATAACATCCAAATCCTCCTAAGCTTGAGGCTACCTTCATAAAGCCTTTCTGAACTCCTCTGGCTCACTGTGACTTTCACTTTCTCCAAATGTTTACAGTATCTATGTGTTTGTATCATTCATACACCATTTAATATTTTCACATGTGTATCTTATCTCCCTTGTAAAACCATGAGATCCAGGACGTAAGTGCACAAGAAGTATGTGATCACACTTGAGCACAGACTGTACTCTAATGAAAGAACACTGAACGGAGAGTCAGGATGGAAAGACTTAAATTCTAAGTTTTTCATTCACTGCCTTGAGTAATTCACCTGTCTGGATTTTCTCACTTGAAAAATGAGAGGAATATATGTTCATAAAGAAACCATGGAAAACAAAGCAAAGCATTTTAAGACAATTAAATTGTGTTCTTTTACTATGATAATGCTTTACTATTGTATCAACATATTCTTTCTAACCACTAGCCACAGACATCCATGCCCACCCTACTACCACTCCCCCTTTTCACCTTCATACCCACACATTATGAAATTTTGGAATTCAGCCCAAAGTTAAAAGAGAGAAAATGGTAAGAGATTATTAAAAAGTGGAAAACACTATAAAACAGCCAAGAGCTACTGTATAGAAAATATATAGAGGTTATTTAAAATTTATATTACATCTACGGAAAAAAGTTAACATCACTGTTTTCTCCCTTTCAAAAAAGCTCTTTGTAGTGCTCTTTCATTGTGTGTTCTTGAAAACTGTTTCATTTCTCCTGTAGTTCAACCCTTCATTGCACTGAATTATAAATCTTGAAAGACAATTACATGCAACTTCTGCAATTAAGGGAGAATTTATTAATTGTAAAACAAATGAGGAAAAGTTATCCATACCTTGTACTTTTTCTGCTGCCCAGTACTTCCCTGCAGTCTCCAGAATCCAGGCTTCATTCCTATCAGCTATCAGGAAACTGTTGTGATAGCTAAATGCCATACCATCCTCTGAACAATTTCCACCCTGGCCATATTTTTCTAATAAATCAACAATGACGTCGAGAGCTTTTTCAGCTGTATCAGCTCTTTCAAGGCCAAGTCTAAAATAAAAATATTAAAGTTCTCAGGTTAAAATAAATTTCCATTGTTTTGCTTAAATAATTTCATGCACATGAGATTTTGTGGTTGTATTCAAATAAAAATTATTTCAAGTTAACAGGTAAACTGAAATCCAACTTCAAAACTATTCCTCCTGAAGTCAGTTTGGAATTGAAAACAATGATTTTGGAGTCAAACAGATCAATGTTCAAATTCCAAGTTGGTAATTTATTGGCAAGTTACTTGATCTCTGATCCTCAGGTATCTCATCTGAAGTTACTGTGAGAATTAGTTATGGTCTGACAAAATATGTTAGGTACTTCCAATGAATCATGATTATCAATTCTTAGCCTCTCCCAATTAATGATATTTGAGAGTCTTTACACTACATGCTAGTACTTTAAAGCATTTCTGACACACACTATAAAGTATCAAAGTCCAAACAAAAGAAAAAATAGAAAAATAAAGTATGTAAGAGTTACACCAAAATTTAAATTTTAGACAAGTTCTATAATGCAAAAAATACAACAGAAAAATAACCTGACAAGGTCCATGCCCAGTAGCGCCTCTTCATCACAAACTTCTTCTCTTCCCCAAACAGCTTCATTCCCAATGCAAACTCCATGTTCATTGGCTCCCATTTCTGCGCCCCACAACCAAGCTGGGCGACTGAGAACAACAGCATATGTTTCAGGGACTTGATCAATTTCTATGTAAGTACACTGTAAAGAGAGTCATAGCAACAACCATAAAACCAAAAACATATAAGTTGTCCAAGTCCAGGATCTTAAAAATCAACCAGAAAATACGACCATGACACAAATGAAGTATAACTAAATGGTAATTTTCAATAATCATATTCAGAATTGACCCTAAAGTATTTATTCATTCAAATACTTGCTGAGCCTTAGCCAGTTTGGCTCAGTGAATACAGCATCGGCCTGCGGACGGACCAAAGAATCCCGGGTTTAATTCTGGTCAAGGGCACATCCTGGGTTGCAGACTCAATCCCTAGGAGGAGGCAGCCGATCAATGATTCTCTCTCATCATTGATGTTTTTATCTCTCTCTCTCTCTCCCTTCTTCTCTGAAATCAATAAAAATGTATTTTAAAAAAAAACTTGCTGAGTATCTTCTATTATAAAGCACTCTGCTAAGAAATGCATCAGTTACAGATTTTGTTTTCAAGAAACTAAGACTTGTACATTAACTAAGGTACAACAAAATACAGGGGGCCATAAAGAAAAATGAAGATGAGGGGCTACAGAAGCTCAGGAGAGAGATAGTTTCTAATTGTGAAAATTCTAAATATTTTGTAAAGGAGGATGTATGTGATTTGAAGCTTAAGGAAGCAGTTTTCAATCTTAATGTACAGTCTTTCTTGGCTAGTGATATAGGTCCCGTATGGTAGCCCTTATGGGTATTGCCATAAAAGCCTACCCATCTATTATGTCCACAGCAGTGAAAAGAATGAGAACCACTAGTTTACATGATAGGCTAGACTTAAGTATGAAGAGACAAAAGTGGAAATGGACCCAAAATTAATTAATAGTAGCAGCAAAAGAAAAACTGGCCTAGTATACAGAATACATCTAGCATTTAATATATTTTAGTATTAGAATATCAATGAACTCTAAAAAATATGCCAACAATTAAAGCACAAAGTAAAACTTTTAAAGTTCCATGCTGAATAGATTTTTTTAACTAAAAATTTTAAAGAACCCTTTAATTAATGTGTATTCTACCAAATGACTACATAAAATTCATGTTGCTAGTGTTATCACTGGGTCCAATAAAAATTTTATTCCCAGGTAATAAAATTGTTATTCCAGAATCTGAATGACTCTTCCTATTCTACACCAATCACAATCCTTGTTGTCCATCAAACTCCAGCTGAAACCCCAACTCCTAGTGAAGCCTTCCTTCATCCCTAGACTGAACTAATTGTTCTTCCTCCACTGCTGTCACAGCTTGCTGCTCTTATATTTTATATCTAGACCATCATACTTTATAATGGGGTTAGCTGCAGCATCTGCATCCCACTCGTCTACTAAATCCTAAGCTTGACAGCAGGATTTTAAAAAAATTAAAAAAATTTGATTTTAGAGAGAGATGAAGGGAGAGGGAAAAGAGAGAGATGTGAAAGAGAAACCTCGATTGGTTGCCTCCTGCATGCACACTGACCCGGGGATTGAACCCACAACCTAAGTATGTGCCCTGACAGAGAATCAATCTGGTGACTTTCCAGTATACAGGATGAAAGTCAACCAACTGAGCCACACCAGCCAGCAGGTTTTAAATCCCTGCCCTATTTAACAGGTTTACACATAGTAAGCATTCAAATAAAATTAACAATTATTATTATTGTTATTTCAGCTTCCTCCAAATCACAAAAGACCAGCAGTCTACTTTTGATTCAAATTATTTTTCAAATTTCAATTCTTGAATTTTTAACATCTATAATATCTGCCAAATAGCTAGCTTATGACAAAAAAAACTGTTTATGATATTTTTAAAGAAACATATTGCTAACAAAATATGTATTCCACCTACCTTAAGATGTCCTCTCAGGTTATCGTGAACTGCAGCAGGAAAATAAACTACCTCTTGTACTTCATCACAGAGTCTATCTGAATTTTTTCCAAAAATAATCCTATTTTGCACTGTTGCTGGAGGTAATGCCACAAAAGTGTCACATGAACAAGGTTCCATTTTTTTATACTGAAAATCATATAGAAGATTCAAAATAAGAAAAGCAATTTTAAGTATATACAAAACAGAAAGTTTTACTTAATGACCAAGGGATACTATTGCCATATCTAATAAAAGCTGTTCATTGAAGTTTTAAACTTCATGTACTGTAGTTCAAAAATCAGTCAGAAAATGACTTGGGAATGAATCTTGCAGCACAAGAGTCAATAAGAAAATGGCAATGACAAGTACCTTCTTCTAATCTATCAGTCAGATTTACCCTCTGCCAGTGGTTCTCAACCTTCTGGCCCTTTAAATACAGTTCCTCATGTTGTGACCCAACCATAAAATTATTTCCGTTGCTACTTCATAACTGTAATGTTGCTACTGTTATGAATCGTAATGTAAATATCTGATGTGCAGGATGGTCTTAGGCGACCCCTGTGAAAGGGTCGTTCCACAGGTTTAGAGGGTCTACTAAACTCTTTTACTCCTGAAGTCTTCCCTGAGTCATCTTTGACTATTTCCATATTTGGGAATCCCTGGTTCAAATATATCATAGGGCTATTATGAGAAATTAGTAAGACAATGTGTCAAATGTTTTGCACAGTGAATACTACGTAGAAGACACTCAAAAGAAACTGTTGTTTTTTTCATTTGGCAAATGAGTGCATTTCCCACAGAAGGCATCGCACACACACACCGGAAAGAGAAGCTGGTTGGTGGCGCCCCTATAGCAGCCACGGCCACCCCAAACCCTGAAGTTTCAAGAGCCATAAAGCGGCACTAGATCTGAGCTAAGGGGTTGTTCGGGAAGCCAAGGAAACACGCAGCCTCGTTAGCAAGGACCTAGCGAGCCCATTTCGAGGGGGGAGCCGCAGGGGCTTACTGTGCATTTATCACTCAACAAATGTTTACTGAACATCTTTCTGCCCCGCGGCGACAAAACACACAGTCCTCGCTCTCGTAGCGTCGACACCCTATTTAAAAGCTTTCGTTCACCAACTGCTTTCAGAAACCTCCGCACAAACGGGCTACACTTGGTGAGAATTACTACTCCCATAACACAGATGAGAAAATCGGTGCAGAAAAGTTTAACTCGAGTCCAAGTTCCCGGGGTAAATAAAGGGCTCGAACTTCAAACACGTCTTGTAGAAGAGCCGCCGCACAGGGCGCACTCCGCGCCCCGTCGGGGGAGTTGAAACGGCGGCGGCGCAGCTGTACCCCGGCCCCCAGCGGCCCGGGATCCCCCCGGCCATCTTTCCCGTCCCCCACTTCCCACGTCTCCTACGTACGCCCCTCCCCCGTGCACGCCCCTCACCTGGCCTCCGGGCAAAGTGAAAAGGGAGGGGGCGATCAGTGTCAGGGAGAGGCATTAGTTGCCGGAAGCCGTCACCTCTGACCCCGGAAGTGCCCCGTGCGAAGGGAAGCGCAGTTCCGGTTAGGCGGCAGAGTTTGTTTACGTTGCTCTCAGACCTAGCGGCGGCTTTCTCCAGCTCAGCCTCCAAGATGGGGAAGTCTTTCGCCAATTTCATGTGCAAGAAGGACTTTCATCCCGCCTCCAAATCCAACATCAAGAAAGTGAGTACGGGGAGCCCGGGAGGGTGCTGGCCCTTGGACTGGGTTCCCAGGGCGTGCTGGACATGGGAGTGCTGGTGTCTCTTGGATCCCTGGGACAGTCGCTTCTTCGCCAGGCCCAAAGCTCTCGTGTTCTTGCCCCTTCACCCCCGCTGAGAAACTTGTTGACAAAGCTGGCCCTCGGGTTTAGGCGGCCAGGTCTGCTCCGTCGACTCTGTCTGCAAGAATGTAAATCCATAAGATCTGAAGATTGATAGAGTTCCTCATTCCTTTCCTCAAGAGATTCTGGATTTGCCTTTTCGAATACCAGGATCGCGGTTTCGGAGCGCTGCTAAACTGTACAGAGAAAACTTACTATTTAAGATAAGGTAGATCTTAACGTGGAAATAAAGTCAGCCCCTTGCTTCCTCTCTTTATCCTACCCGATAATGTAGTATCGCTCCGATGACCTCGTTGAAGTTTGGCTTTTCAGTGATCAATTATGTGTCTACGAGGCGCAGTGAAGAGAAACCGTGCTCAGTACTATAGCAGTGGAAAGGAGAGATGACGTAGGAAGAGTCTGAGCATTGGAATCAGGCCTAGATTCTAGTTTTTCCAGCACAGTCGCCTTTAGCCCTGACACCTTGCACAAAATCGTTCCCTCATTCCAGTCTCCTAATCTATAAATTAGGAATGATCATTGTCAATTGCTTTGACTTGTAAAATTGGTATGAGGGTTAAATAAGATGGTTTAGATAAAGGCTTTGAAACAAAGTTCCACCTAGCACTGTGTGTGCCCACCATCTAGAGGGAGTGCTCAATAAAATATTAATTTTCCCTACACATATACTTATTCTTAGCCTGCTCCCAAATACAGAGTTGCATTCTTGGCCTATGCCTTGCTTACTCTATATGCTTCCCAAGCAGTCACATCCAAATTCATAGTTTTAACTACCCCCTCTTCACTCATGACTCTCAAATCTACAGCCCCAGGTGTCTCCCCTACCTCAAAACAACTATATACTTAACAATTTCATCTAGGTATCCTACAGGCATCTCAAACTCAACATATCTGAAATGGAACTTATCTTTCATCCAAAATCTGCTCTTCTTTTTATACTTCCTATCTCATATGAGTAGGAAATATAGGTAGTAACAATCCTTCACCCAGTCATCCAAGCCAGGAATTCAAGATTCATCCCTTTCCCATAACCCCTTTATCTAGTCAGCAAATAAATTCGATTGGTCTTACCCCCCAAATATCTCTTGAATCCTTCTCTCCTCTTTGTCACTATTGCCTGTATCTTAGCTTAGACTCTCATTATCTTTCACCTGGACTGTTATGTTTCCTGACTGATTTTTCTGCCTCCAGTCTTGACCCCTTTCAAATCTGTTCTCTACATAGTCATCAGAATAACTTTTATTTCACAGCTTTACTGAGATATAACTTACATACCATAAAATCACCCATTTAAAGTACACAGTTTAGTGGTTTTTAGTATATTTATGAATTTATGAATCATTACCACAAACAATTTTAAAATATTTCTGTCACCCACCCCCTCAAAACCCATATCTGTTAGCAGTTCCTCCCCATTTCTCCTTAACCCTCCCTCTTATCCAGCCCTAGGCAACCACAAATCTACTTTATATTTCTGTGGATTTACCTATTCTGGGCATTTCATATAAGTCATGAAATATGTAGTCTTTTGTGAAATAATTGCCTTTTTCGCTTAGCATAATGTTTTCAAAGTTTATCCATGTTGTAGAATGTATCGATATTGCATTTCTTTTTATTCCTGAATATTCGATTGTGTGGATATGGCACATTTTATTTGTCCATTCATCAGTTTATGAATATTTGGGTTGTTTCCATAGAAAAGTTTTTTTAAAGCAAAACTCTGATCTTGTCCCACTCCTTATTAAAATACTACAGGATTAAGTCCAAGTAATCTGGGTCCAGTTTATTTTTCCTTCTTTGTCCCCAATTGCCATTCTCCCAGTTCAGATTTTATATTCCAGTAATGTCAAACTACTTAATTCCAGTTTTACACCTTTGGGTCTTTGAGTTATTTCCTCTGCCAGTAAAATCTTGCCCTTGCCCTAGCCCTAGCCGGTTTTGCTCAGTGGATAGAGCGTCAGCCTGGGAACTGAAAGGTCCCAGGTTCGATTCCGATCAAGGGCACATGCCCGGTTGTGGGCTCGATGCCCAGTGGGGGACTTGCAGGAGGCAGCCAATCCATGATTCTCTCTCATCATTGATGTTTCTATCTCTCGGATGTCCCTCTTCCTTCCTCTCTGAAATCAATAAGAAATATATATATTTTTTAAAATCTTGCCCTGTTTTTTCCTTGGCAACATTCTGATCCTCTTTAAAAACCTGTTTAACATGTATGAAGTTGCTTGTGTACAGGGTTATTTATTGCAATAGAGTTTTTAAAATATATTTTATTGATTTTTTTTTTTTTTTTACAGAGAGGAAGGGAGAGAGATAGAGAGTTAGAAACATCAATCAGCTGCCTCCTGCACACCTCCTACTGGGGATGTGCCCGCAACCCAGGTACATGCCCTTGACCGGAACCGAACCTGAGACCTTTCAGTCCGCAGGCTGACACTCTATCCACTGAGCCAAACCGGTTTCGGCAACAATAGAGTTTTTAATAGCAAAAGATTAGAAATTTTTTAAATGCTCATTAGTGCAGCAGGAGATTGGTTCAATAAATGATGATATAGCCCCACAATAGAATGATGTTCAGCTCTCTGCCCCACCCCCACCCCCCAAATACAAGAAGGCTTTTTATTCACTGATCTTGAATGATCTCCATGGTATAGAATTTTATTTTATACATATTCTCTGTGTGTATATGAACATGTGTATGCAATATATGTTACCATATATGAAAAGAGTGAGAAAAAAAAATGTGTGGCCCTGGCTGGTGTGGCTCTGTTGGTTGGAGTGGCGTCCTATACACAGAAAGGTTGTGGTTTTGATTCCCTAGTAGGGCACATGCCTAGGTTGCAGGTTCAGTTCTCGGTAGGGGTACATTCAGAGGCAACGGATTAATGTTTCTCTCACATCGATGTTTCTCCGTCTCTCTCTCCCTCCCTTCCCCTTTTTCTAAAATCAATAAACATATCCTTAGGTGAGGATTTTAAAAAAAGGATTATGTATGTATGTTTGTTTTATATACACAGGGCGGGGGCAAAAGTAGATTTATAGTTGTTTATATGGAAAATAATATAATTAAATAATAAGAATAAACTCTGTTTTGTGTACTCACAACTGTAAACCTACTTTTGCACTACCCTGTATATCCTTTTGTGTATATGTGCATTAGAACATCTTTGGAAGGATATAGATATACAAGAAATAGATAACATTGGCTACCCTTGATTTAATTTGAAAAAATAACTTTTTAAAACCAAAAGTTGCTGTAAAGTATTCCCTTATACCAGCCTTCCTTCCTGGTCCCTAATGTTAATCACTGTCTTATTCTATTTTGTTATCTTGTACATATTTCTGTTGTCCAAATATCAAACTTTATTGTTATTATTTATTTATATTATATAATTCATGTATTTTTTTATTATACAGAGCTTAAAATTACAGAAAAGTTAGTATGGTTTTCTATTAGCAGATTCTGAGCATTTTGAAGACAAGAATGTGCTTTATTACTTTTTATTCCAGTCCATAATGAATACTCAATATGTGTTTAAGCTCTCGAGCAATTCAGACAAGTAAAATAACCTTATGAAATCTAAAGCAAATAAATGGTAGTCATTCTGTCAGAAGTGATATGTTATTCATTAGATTGTTATTAATATGTTATTCTGCTAGGCGTTTCTCTTTTGCAACTGTTTGTATTTTAAGCTACTGTGAAAATTCCAAACATGTACCTTTTTTTAAAATATATTTTTATTGATTTCAGAGAGGAAGGGAGAGGGAGAGATAGAAACATCATTGATCGGCTGCCTCCTGCACACCCCCTACTGGGGATCGAGCCCGTGAGACCACAACCCAGGAATGTGCCCTTGACCAGAATCGAGCCTGGGACCTTTCAGTCCACAGGCCGACGCTCTATCCACTGAACCAAACTGGCTAAGAAACAAACATGTACCTTTTACTGCCTATCCTAAGTGTACGTTTTTCTTCTACATTGGTAAGTGTGAAGTCAGTGGAAGAGACGTCAGGAACTTATACCAAAATAAATGTCTGGTATATTCTGTCCCTGAAGGATTCTTTTCATTTTGATTTTTTGCTTTTATCTCCATGCTAGGGGCCCAGTGCACAAATTCATGCACCTTGAAAAGAACTGTGGGCCGCAAGGCTGCAGTGGGCACAGGGGTGGGTCTTGGCCCATCCTCCACATCCCCGCCTGGCCCCTCCTGCTGCGGGCCCCAGTCCCATCTCTGCTGGCAGCCCCACTCCCACTGCAGCCACTCCCATGCGCTGATGGCGCCAGCCCTGCTCACACCCGCTGACGGCGCAGAGCAATTGGGGCCAGTGCCAGCAGCAGGTGCAAGCGGGGCCGGCGCTGTCAGTGGGTGTGAGCAGCAGCTGCTGCCCCGATCGCCCCTAGGGAGCAGGGGTGGGTAGAGAAGCCCTGAGGGGCGATCAGGGCCAGCAGCTACTCCTCCCACCCGCTGACGGCGCCGAGCGATCAGGACTGGCACTGAGTGCCAGCAGCCGGTGTGAGCAGCAGCTCCAGCACTGGCAGTGTGCGAGTGCTGGGCGGGACTGTAGCGCATGGGAGCAAAGAATTTTCAGTAACCACCAGAGGCTCGCCCCCATGACAGTGACCAGTGCCCTGCCGTGGTCTGGCGCCCCCGCTCACCTGCTCCA